TATTTTGTTATAACTCAATAATTATCTTAATTATATTTTATATTATCTTTTATTTGATTATGTTTATCTACAGTTAGTTACGCGAATTCAAACATGACACTTTAATAAGTTGTACTTACGAACAATCTAATTGCAATCTTGAGTTTTAAATATGCATTAATAAATAGTACTTTACGCATAAAAAATGATTTTTAAGAGTTTTTGTCAAATGTTTTGTAATATAGTATAGATATAATATTAATTTTGGATGATAAAACTTATAGTCCGTCAGTGATTGCCTTGGAAAATTCCGTTGGTGAAAATATGTTTTTTAGTAGTGCAAAAATCTATTGAATTAGAACAACGTTGACATCATGTCTTTTCTCAATAAACTCACCAATAACGACAAGAAATTGGATCAATGGTGCTTAGAGCTTTCGTCATTACATGGATGTTATGACGACCGCCCATCATACTGTTGTTTACGTTATCTTCGAAATAACCCTGATATGGAACTTATCGTCACAAACTATAGAAATGTGGTGTACCTTGAATGATCAGTCGGTTTTGTAAGTGTTGATGCAAATATATAGCTTTATCATGGCAAATTATATACATTTGACAATCAGATCGATAAACACACAAGTCGTTCATGGATTCATATTTTAAATTGGTGACAAGCATCCAAACAGTGATCGAATTATTCTTGAGCAAAAATTTCAAGAACGATAAATGTTGATGTAAAATTAAACTTGAAATTCAAGAAATTGGGAATCGAATCGAGAAGCATGTCGCACAGATACTCGAAGAAAATATTTATTTGTGATGTATACCATGAAAAAACGTTGACATAAAATCAAATCATAGTCAAGAAGTATCAAGTAAAATACAAATGATAAATCGTTAAAATGATTAATTTATAAAATGGATTATGTAAAATGTACAAACTTTATTGAAGAATTTTTTTAAAGAAAAATATGTCCAGGCGTGATTTGGATGTCTGGTTGGACAAAATGAACGGTGGATATTGTAAGTGGTTGGTTAAGAATGCATAAAAAAATCTATTCAGAGCAATTATCAAAATAAATAATGTTGTATTATACAATGGTCTTTGTTCTACCACTAAAGAACACAATAATGAATCGCAGTCTCAACTTTCGCTTGAGAAAAGTCTGGAAATGAAGTTGTGAATCACTCTGTATGTACATATTTTCTCTAAAGTCTTTCGGTTTGTTTTTGTATAAAGTAAAAGAAATGGCTAGATATATTACACCTTGTGGCAGTGATGAACGTAGAGATACACAAAGGATTGGTTAACTGATTTTACGTCAGTTAAAAGAATTAATTAGTTTATAATGTCTGTCTAGATAGAAAAAGATTTTGATTAACCTAAATATCTAACCCGTTATGCGAGCCAACTAACAACAGAACGAGCACTCGCTTCATTGGATTTGTACCTTTGTGGCCACAAAAGGAATTTTTATTCTAGCTAATTTTTATATCTTACTTAGTTTACAACTTAATAAAAATTCAAAGTATTTTCTAAAATAATTATCCACTTCATTCTTTGATATAATATATATATATATATATATATATAGAGAGAGAGAGAGAGAGAGAGAGAGAGAGAGATACTTGGGTTGGGATTATGTGAGACCAACTTGTTCGTGAGACTTGTGAGACCACTTTTTTACACTTGAAACTTCACAGTAAAATGCTGTGAATGTAACCTTCACAGTGTTTTTGCTGTGAAGGTTTGGATTTTTTTACTTTCACAATATTTTTGCTGTGAAGTTTCAAGTGTAAAAAGATTGGTCTCACGTGAACCCAACCCTATCAAATGAAAACCACTCAATTTGTAAAAACCGTAAAAACTTCATTCCACCAATCATAATTTTTTATTTTGTTCATTTTTTTGTAATTATGAGAGGTTGATTAATCATTTTTATTGTAGAGGATGTTAATCATGGATATTATCATCTTCATTATTTTAATTTTAGAGAAATACATGAAACAGTTTCATTAAAATTTCATTAAGTAGTATATGAAACAATTTCATAACCATATGAAACAACTTCATCAAAAAAAGTATTATATGAAACAATTTCATAAGATTAAACAATTTCATGAAAAAAATTTATAAGATTAAGACGGATGATAGTAGTTTTTATGGTTTTTACAAATTAGAGTGGTTTTCATTTGATCGCTTATATATATATATATATATATATATATATATATATTTTAAGTTTCTATTAAAATCCAAAAGAACCATTTATGATGTTCGGGCCAGTATGGATTCAGCCGGGTTCGATCCAGAGGTACAAATCCGGTGAACCATTTAAAATCCAAAAGAACCATTGGTCAGTCCGGATTTGATCCTAAATCTTTGTCTAAGGACCGATTAAGGTCTGGCCCGATCTTCTATTAACCATTCCTTTTTTTCAATTAAAAAGGGCCAGTAACCCGTTTTTATGGGACCGGTTAAGGCCTGGTTCTTATGCACTTTTAGATAAAAGCTCATCTACAATAACTCATGATTGTCTGAGGTCTATTAATTGTGCATAAGCTGGCTGATTAGATACTGTAATTTCTAAAATACGAAGAAAAACAATAAAGCAGGTCAAAGGGGGAAAAAGCCATTCTTGAAAATAGTCTAAAATCCTTCACTTTGACATACTTTATTGCTTTTTTTTCTCCTGTATTTTGGTAAATATAATAGTTATTTTGAAACAAAACTACACATGTTACGATGGTAATACTAATTCACTATAAAATAGATGAACTTTTTTAACACCTTTCAACGGAAAAATATCGAACAAATACAACGTTAGCGTAGATACCAAACAAAAAAACGGAATCCTCGACCATGATCTTGTCTGATTTGAGACGTGCACTATTCTCGTACTCGTTTTCCTTCTACAAATGTCGCAATTTACTCCACCGGATCTACATGCTTCAACCTAATGGAGGAGGTGGCGGTGGAGCATTGGGTGGTGGCGGTGGCGGCATTGACATCTGCATCATAGAAGGGTGACCATGACCGCCAGTCAACTGTTGAGGAGGAGGTGGTGCTCGCCACACATGCTGACCAGCCATACCTGCTGGCGGTGGCGGCGGCCTATTCATCATCTGAGGCATGTTTGAAGGTGGTGGCGGCATGCTAGGTGGTGGCGGCCTGAACTGCTGAAGGTGCTGTGGCGGCATGCCCTGCGGCTGGCCCATCTGCTGCCATTGTGGTGGTGGTACGGACATTTGCATGGGTTGGTAGACGTGTGCAGGTGGTGGAGGTGGACGGATTGCCGGAATAGTTGGAACCGGAGGAACCACTCCGTTTGCAAACGGCCGTGGCGGCACTGGTGCACCATTCGGTTGACCAACCTTGGGAAGTGTCGGAGGTCCACTTGCAAACATCGTGTGAGGCCTACTTTTTTGGGTGCTCGGATTACTGCTTGCCAAAGTCCTCTCTGCAGAAGCCATTGGTTATAACTTATAAGCAGTGTGACCGTAACAGAATGGAAGTCATAATTAGGGAGTCCTAGAATAAATGTCCAAAATATGAAACGACACTAATTGTAGACGGTTATTACACTTTTTAATCAACTGAATGACAATATCTGAATATCACCCTTAATCATTACACATTTAAATTAACTAATGAACTTATCCATCTCATCAACTCTTAAATATTCGAGCTTGATACTTGAGGGTAGAATTAGAAATTTAGTAAACTATACTCCATCCATCACAATATAAATGATCACGATGAAAAAGGCACACAGACTTAGAAACGTGTAATTATTACACTTTTATTAACTAAATGACAAATTTACCGTCAACAATTGAAGAAGTAATGGATTTTCCATCTCATAAAAAAGTAGGAATTTACTTTTAAAAGTGAACACTTGTTTTCGGACAAACTGAAATAGAAATGTGGACACCTATTTTGAAACAAGGAGAGTAACCATATATTTTCGAAAGTGGATGCCATTTTGAGACAAACTTAAATAGAAATTGAAACAGAGGGCATAACATCTAAATCCAGAACATACTTGTTTTCTTTTTTAAAGTATATAATATTTATATACGGCAAATAGAACAAATAAACTCACACACCCTCCTCACCTTTGGTGAGGTTTGAACCCTTGACCTCGTAGGAGGCTAAGGACTCACATACCGCTAGGCCAAAGGCCCTTTGGTCAATACATACTTGTTAGAGGCATCCTTAACCTATAACTAACACACACACACACACATATATATGTGTGCGAGAAAAGTGAGAGTAAGTTTGTAAATGCAAGCCAAGACTCAAGGTCAAAGGAAAAAAGCCTAACCTGCCGGGGTACCATGACGCTCTCCCTTGGTGTCTTTCTTGTAAGCATAAGACACTGTTATCTGGCGATTGCATAGATATTGTCCGTTCATTGACTGCACAGAAAATATAAGGGACAAAATCAACAAAATCGTTAAAACAATCAACTCAGAAAATACCCCTCAAAGCCAATAAATACTTGATAATTTCATTTAAATCAAGGGTGTCATCTACAAACATCTAAGATTTGAGAATTTAAAAACAAAAAACTCATAAAATTTACAGTATGAGTAAGGTTCTTAAATTTCAGTTTTAGAAGAACATTGTAAAGAGTCCATGTTAACAATTAGGCCCCTGTTAATGGACATACGAAAATATATATGTCTGCATTTATATCTGGTCATTGCAGATATTTATCGATATCAGATGCATATGCAGATATAGTATAATCCAACAGATGTCCAAGGGACAGGTTCATTTGAGAACTATAAAAGGGTGTGTTTGGTACACTGGACAGGACAGAACAGAACAGAACAAGGATCACTAATCCACTTTTGGCAGGACTTCTATGTGGAACAGAGTGGAACAATGTGGAGCAGGCGTGTTCCATCCCCACCCAATGGAACAAGCTGGAACAGACTTATATTTTACCAATATAACTTCAAAATAAAACCTAATTCTCTTCTAAAACATCAAATGTGCCTTCCTCTTTACATTTTATTCATTCTTTAAATTTTATTTATTGTATTTTATGCCCATGAAAGATTAATTGAATCATCAAAAACTAGGAGCATGAAGTGTTGTCTTGCCAAACATTGAACAACTGTTCTGTCTTGTTCTGTTCTATCATGTTCTATCCTTTCAGGATACCAAAGGCACCCTAAATTTTTTGAGAACTGTGAGAAATAACTATTCATGAATTATTCATGATGAATATCGTAAACAATGAAAATGCATGATACTCAATTATTCATGATGAATAATATTCATGAATATTTAGGTTTATTCATTGTTATGTTGTTATTGCGGCGCTATTGCGCTGCAATAGTGGTGCAATAGCGGATTGCGGACTAACATAAAATTGCAATGGTCAAATTGCGGTGAAAATTGCGTTTCCAATATTAGCGGCGCAATTGACCGATATTTGAGGTGAAATTTTGGACCGATATTCTGATATTTTAGCTTGGGCCTCTTTAGAGCTATGTTGACTCAGATGTTGAATCTATTGCTTGCGATTAGCTCGTTTATGAACATTTTTCCTATTTTGTTTTGTGAAATTTGTTTAAGTTGATGTTTTGATGTTGAAACTATATTTTTAATTAATGCATATGATATGTTTATGTATGCATACATATATATATTATATAATTCTAAGAAATATTATATGAACCGCTATTTTTAGACCGCTATATCACTGCTATAACCGCTATTTCAAATATTGGTCCTGAACGCAATTTTTATTTTCAACGCTATAACAACATAGATTCATTGTGAATAATTCATGAATAGTTGGTTCTCAAGGTTCTCAAAACAAATTATGGTTCCTAAATGAACTTTTCAAATGGCCAGATGTCGTGCATCCAAGTATTCACTAAAATTTGTGAATATCCACTTGTTATAATTTTATACTAATAACAAATTATGTAATTACATGATTTGTAGGTTTTATTACAAAACGGTATGTAATTTCACAACATCCATGTGATCATAATGTAATGTAGATTTTTTTACGTGTACTTAGTACTTACATAGTACATTATGATCTAACTCTAATATTTGTCATGTGCCTAAGGGAACGAAGAACTAAGAAATCATTTGCATAAAAAGAATTACCTCTATAGCTGCATCTGAAGCCTCAAAAGAATCATAGCTAATGAATCCAAATCCACGGGAATTCCCTGTCTCGGGATCTCTCATGATCTGCAACACGTAAATTATTACTACTCAACCATAGAGAAGCATACGATACATGAGTAACAAAAAACAAAGATAGTTTAAACTCTTCCAAGAGGTCCAGAGAACAGCAAGGAGCAAGGCACATAAATAGTATATCAGTAAGATAGCATGCTAAAACATAGCTACAATGAGTTATGTGCTCTTCAAAATGCAGACAACCAAAGGCAATGCAAAATTATTCAGCCCCTGAAAATTGGATTATGAATACCAATACATACATATGAATACTAACTGAAGTTTGCCAAATCCTTACAAGCAAGAGCTGCCACCATCACTTACCTTATGGGCCAATAACCCATCATCTGGGGATCCGAATTCAACTTTTCCCCATTTTTCAAGTTTCTTAGTTTCACTAATGAAATCATAGATTTCTGTCAATCATGTATTGTTTCACATTAGTTTTTTCCATTTAAGTCTAAGATTTATTGCTTCACATATATTACTTTTGCAATATATTTGTTTCACATGTAAATATTCCACAATGTGAAACTTCTTTTGTTTCATAATATGAAACAACAGATGATTCACCTGTTTCTCACGGTTCTCAACCTACTTTAGGTACTCATTTGATTATGCCCCAATATATATACATATATGGTGAGCTTAATTTCCATAGTGAAGGCAGGTACAGCAAGGTGAGTGCCTTGACATGAATTTCCAAGGTGATGCAACATCAAGGATGAGGCACCTAGCTCAATCAACGTACCATACACTATAACCTCTAAAATGCACCTAGCTCCACTTATGCAAGGTTGAGCATCCCACAAACAGATTCCCACTTATAGCAGAGGATGAAGTTATGCCAATTGGACTCCCAAGATGATGTATTGTATACTTATGGAGACACAGCTCTATGTTTCAGAGCACATGTTGAAAGCACAAATACTGCTTGGCAAATTATAAGGCATACATTAATAACATAAACCAAACCAATCCAACCGACCCAGTAAATCCCACAAGTAGGGTTTGGGGAGGGTATGATGTATGCAGACCTTGCTATTTCTTTTCACTTACATTACTTACATGAATACGGGAAAGATAACATTACAGTTTCTCTCTAGCATGATCGGTATCGTCTTGCATTCAGTTCACAAACTATAAATCATGACTAGTAAAGGTGAAATCAAAAAATTACCTTGGGATTTGTAACAATGACTCCAAAAGCACTGAAAGTATCATAAAGAAGTTTTTCATCCACATCCTGCAAGAACATTGTGGTAAGTCACAGAGTCACAGTTATACAAATTTCTGTCTACAGAACATAATGTTAGAAAAGATGAATGAGATTATGTGTGTGTACGTGAGAGTGAGATGGGGACAAAAAACAGTTTCATCTATTAATATCAGGTGGCATAATGAAAATCTTACAGGGTCCAGATTTCCAACAAAAAGGTTTGCTCCTACATCCAAGCTCTTCTTATCTTGCGATGCCTGCAATGAGGAACAGAATAAAACAACCATGTGTCAAGATATTTTCAGCACCTGTAACAAGAATGATTAAGAGAAGTTTTTGAGGAATGATCCAAGTGTACCTTATTCACTCTTATGGGTTTCCCATACAGCTTGATCATGTTGAGAACTTTTATTGCCTGCATCATCAGCGACAACAACACTTGATAGTTAGTTTTAAGGGAAGTTTGGTAAAAATATAGTTTGCCCAAGTCTTTGGTAAAAGCTTAAGTTCATTCGAAGTTAGTTTTTCTTTCTCCTATAATTAATTAAAACAATTTATAATTGATGATTGCATGTTTGGTACTCCTTGTCTTGAAAAACTTCAATGAAACCAAAGAGAAAGAAAGATATCTACAGTTCTACATGTGTGTGCTTAATATACTCCATATGGATGTTATAAATATCATGGCTGCAACGTTGATAACCATCACTTGTGAGGAATAATGTTGTTAATCACTGAGATTGCTATAGCTCAATCATTTCCAAATTCCAAGTAACTGGTTTCTAACTTACTCTAGGTTTTTCTTCATGGAACAGTCTAGTATTTTGCAGTTCATAACTTCTAGTATTAAATTCAAACTGCTCCAAAATGGGAAGTCGAAAACTGGCTGCCACGTGGATGATTGTTGGAATTCTAGTATTCATCTATAATATGTGGTGTAAATTATTGATTACTGTGACATGGGAGTACATGATCAATTGACAATAATTACATTAAAACCAAACCAAACCAAGCTGACCCAGTAAATCCCGCTTGAAAGTAAGGGTCTAGGGGGATGATCATAGGCGGACCTGACCTCTACATCAAAGACTAGAGCTGCCTTTCCGTGAAAACCCTCGGCTTGTGCAAAAGTGTGAGCAAACACAAATAAGAAACAAAGACCAGCATATGGTGAACATAGAGTGAGAAAAATAAGAGTAAGGTAAGGCAAAAACATTCACGGGTCAAGAAGACAAAACACACACCGAGCAAGTTCACTTCTTATGACTCTCCCAGGCTCAACTATCTATAAACTGTGAATAGTTGAGCCCGGGAGAGTCATAAGAATCATCACTTACATAAGAATATGTCGAACCACGATATGCCCATTTTCAGAAGAAAAAATAACTGAACTTTCTACATCTTTTGAGATATTATTTCTGTTGGTAAGAAATCTTCATAATTCTTATGAGTTATGACTCTCCCAGGCTCAACTATTCACAGTTTATGGTCTCACATCAACGAATAAATTGGCAAAAACATCACAGCAACAAGCAATACTTACATAGTCAGCATCTTCTTCACTGCGGAACTCCACAAAGCCATAGCCTTGGTGGAGGTTAGTGACTCTATCTTTAGGAACATATACGTTAACTGAAGAAGAAATTGCACAAGTTAGTAGAAATATTCAGTAATACTCATACAGGATGTTGTTTGAAGCATAGTTGAAGAAATTTAAAGTTATTCGAGCAAGATGAAAGGACATGTCAAACACAAACATAAGAATAAGAAAGAAACACATTGCTTTGCTTATAATCAACCAAGTTGCATGCCATGGGAGTGCCAATTGAAGATTAAAATTATGTATGCTTTGTTTAGGCACTTATTAAACCACATAAAAAGGATAAAAACACATTGCTTTGCTTATAATCAACGAAGTTGTATGAAAAATTACTCAATGTGATTTTTAGGTGATCTAAAAATGAAGCAAATATTGACTCAAAAGTTCCTTAGTTCTGTAGCAGACTAGCAGTAATTCCCCCAATCCTGCACTTAGTTCAAGTCACATGTTCAAATAATCAAAATAACCAGAGCCAAGCATAATGATTTTATTTGAATTAGTGTGTTACAGTTGAATAATACTGATTCCGATCATTGTGTTTGGCTCAAAATGGTTTGAGTACTATACGAGCTAGAAGCCTACCAACTGGGCCAGCTTGGACAAATAATTCCCATAATAGCTCTTCAGTTGCCTGCAAATAAATGAATAAATCAAGAACATCAGATCCGATAATGCAAAAAAATTAGGAATATTAAGAACAACCCCACAAGGAGCAAGCCCACAACCATTTTGCACAGGATTATAATTTAAAACTTGAATTTTAAATTATAATACTCGAATTTTTAGATCAAACCTCGCACTTGTTACAAATCTAGCTCCAACATTTTGCATGTGTGTGTGTCACATGGTAATCAAATTTTGGCCAATATGTAAAGAAACTCATAGCATTTATTAAGTTTGAAATCTAGTTCATTCATTACATGCACATATCAGCCAAGGGCAGAATGTAGAAATGTCTATCCGAGAAAAATGAAGACCTAATTAAAATAATATCAATGTATTGTTGCCTTGGTGAACAAGCTAAAAGTTGATCAGGTATAAAATGAGGACCTCAAAAAATGGTTGTCTAAGTTGAGATAAAGTCGCTAGGTTAATCAAATAAGGAGTAAGCCAACATGGGAAATTTCAACAAGTTCGAGCAAGATTGCTAACATCATTTACCATCAACCTAGTCAAATATTTCTCAAATGCATAGTAAACTGATCATACTTTATGATCAATTGCTCAACAAATTAAGAGACTACCATGTAGATCAAGTGGTTATGCCCATTGTGCATCAGTTGCTGCTGCTAAGACAATAAGCTTAAATCTCATGGATCAACATAAGCACGAAATCACATGTTGTAATCTGAGTGTTTGAGTGATTACCAAAGATTGGTATAGCAACTTGCTTCTTATGCCTTTTAAATTCTTGTTGCTTTAAATTTTTTTGTAACTTTTAAGTTTCCAGTGAACTTTCTAGGTGCATGTACCTTTCAGTCCTTCCATTTCAATAAATCGCTGAAAGGTATAAAAGCGGCGTCTTGGTTCAAAAGAGACGTCTTGGTCACAGAAGTCGAGTATATACATCTTTTCAAACAGTTGGATTACTTTCTTTTTCTTATAAAAGGAAAAGCTTATAATAAATTATGATCCTGTGCAAATGGTCTCGACTTGCTCCTTGTGGGGTTGTTCTTAATACTCCAGTGCAAAATGGTGTGGACATACTCCATGTAGGAAGACATTTCTACATTCTTCTCTTAGCTTATATGTAATGTAATGATCGAAATACGCTTCAGAAATTAGTGCCTTTGTAGATAGCAAACAACACAAATGAAGTTGACAATAAGAGTACGACAGCAAGAAACTGTCATTTATTTATTTGTTTCTTTCCTGCAATGCTTGGTTTAGTCATTCGCTAGAAGATTGCAAACCCATCTAAGGAGACTATCCCACTACTTAATCATGAACACAGTCAAGGTTGTTCTTAATAACGGTGAGTTTCTCCGTAAGATTGATTCAAGGCGAAACAACATAATCATTTGAACTCAACACTATAAATGTATCCCTTAAGGTGATATTTTAGAACTTGATTGTCTTGGTTATTAATCGTGGTTCTTTAATCTTTGTTTATGCCCTGGATTCCAGAAATTAAGGTCGTTTAACCTAGCCATTAAAGTAATAATTGTACAAATGCACTATTTGTTCAAATCGACAGAAAAGATTATACATAAACTGAAATGAAAAATACCTGCGGGTCGAGATTGCCAACGTACGCAGTGGCGTCTTGGTTCCTCTCCGCCGAGTGTTGACCTAGCAAGTTTGCCCCGACCCCTGGAGCTATTCTAGTCGTCATCTTCCTCTTCTCTCACTTCGGTGCTCGAATTCCCCAAAATATGTCTAAAACCCTAGTTTTTGGAAATCGGAACACTCTAATCCCCCAACTTATCTTCCTCGATTCGTCATGATGTATACATTGGAGAAAACCAGCGGCACGATTTGTTTTATAGACGTTAATAAATCATGAATAGATTTTGTAAGATGTAAAATTTTAAAATTACTTTGTAGCGGTATTTGGTTATGTTTTTCTATAAAATTATTTATCAATTTATTATAAATCAAACGATTTTAATTTCTTAAAAAAAAATTATTACTGGTTTGATATCGGTATAAGTTGTCTATCTAAACATTCAAAAGTGTTTATTACCAGTGTCACACCAAAATAAGTCAATAAGTTATTTTTATAAACAATCACAAACAACCCCTAAATCTGTATTAAAGATTGATTTATTTGAGCTAACATCATGACTTGCAACAAAAAGATGTTGCCCTAATGATAGTTGTTATACCACAATGAAACTAAAATTGAATTTTATTAACTAGTGTAAGTAAAGTAATTAGTGACAAACTAAAACGTACATGTTTCATGTTTGAACATCATTTACAACATAGAGAAGTGTGTTGTATGCAACCACATTTTTATAGGCACAACCCATGAATTACGCTTCCGGTATTATCAACAGATATACTGAAATGACATCCTCGTCACAAAGTCCTAGAGAAAATACAACCCTCGAATAATGCCATCAAATCTTTTCCCATCACCGAGCTAGAAGCGTGTACCCAAAAAAATTAAACCGCTAATATCGCCAGCGTAGTTAGCAGTAGGGGTGTTCAAAACCCCGACCAATCCAACACAAAATAACTCAACCCGATGTATGTTCGAGTTGTAAAAGTTCAAACCGTATGTATTGAGTTGATATCGGGTTACTATTATTTGAATTCATCTAAACCCGATGAACCTGATATTCTTTTATTTTTTAGATTTAATATGATTGTTGAATTTTTATTAATATATACATTAGACAATTTCACTATCATGTACGCTCTTCGTATACACATCTTTTCAATCTATTCACATCTCTATATAACTCATTCGTATATATGTTCAATAACTGTGAACATATATACGTAAATTAAGAAAAATAACTGAATGTGATATACGTAAGAAGCATGAATAAGTTATATCAAATGGTTGATGATGAAAAAGAAATTATGAGTAAAAAAAAACATATTCAAGGTTAGAAGAATATCTTAATGCACCAAAGTACCAACCCAACCAACCCGCACGGTTTGGGTTGAGTTGGGTTGAATTAAGATTCTTCAAACCGTAAACATTGAGTTGAGTTGTTCAAATGTCTTCAACCCGATCAACACAACCCATTAGCACCCCTATTTAGTAGGATATGACAAGAAGTTGACAGAATCGGAGACCGACGATCAAATAAAGCTCAAAACAGTCGGGTTTGCCAACAAAATATGTGGTTGCAGTATCACGTGAACAATAAGCACGTCTCTATGATAAGACGACATATTCAACCATGTACCACAAACAGTGGCTCGAAACATGTTTCACCTAGCCTTGAATAACATCAAATTTGCACAAAATGTTTATCATCGCCTTAAGCGTGAGGCAAGTCTCGTAATATCTGTCTCTGGAAACAAACATAGATCATAAAATGCAACGTATCACAACTACAAAATTACAGTAAAAAGAACTCGCAAGATAAGAAACAAACATAGATTATAAATTGCGACATTATCACAAATACACAAGATGTCTCATAGCAAGCAAAGTTTTACCTTATCTCACTTTTTTTTATGGTAAGCAAGACTTGAGAAGTCTTGTTCACGACGGACTGCCAGTGATATACTGGAGGCTCCAGAGGTGTTGCCGCTAACTGAAGTTGCCCACCTCGCTCCCGATCAAAAAGAGCGTGCAGGACTTCGAAAAATTATTTTTTTTCGTATTTGGGGTTGACGCCGAGAAAGACTAAAGACTTTTTAAAAAGAATTTTCATAAAATAATAATAATTCAATCTCGTTGGTGAAAATGAATAAAAAATCAATTTATCTTTCCACACGTCAAGTTTTAGAGAATTATTTAAACTTGAAGTTTTTATATAGTTTTCATTATTTTAGAGAACAATATAGAGAATCTGTTGAAGCATAAACAGAGAACAAAAGCCTTATTGTATCCATTATTGAGATCTAAAATGGATAAAATGAGATTTTTGTTCTCTATTTTACTATAATAAAGACTCTATGTAACGATATTGTTCTTTTACATTATTAGAATAGTTTATAGATTAATTACCCCAACACACTTTTTAAAAATAATTTATATAAAATAATAATAATCCAACCTCATTGATGAGATTGAATAATTTTTTTTTCCATACATCAAGTTTTAGAAAAAAATTATGAATTTAGGTGACGTTTGATTCACATAATGTTTTTAGATAGAATGGAACATGTTAAAAGAATTTGACTTTGAAAGAATTGGAACGAAATGTTGTCAGGTTTGACCACTTGTTTGATTGACATATATTGGGATAGAATCTATTAATGAATTAATTTTTGTCTGTTTGGTTTACATAATGTAGTTTTGGAATTAGAATGAAATATTGGTAAATTAACAAAATACATATTTTTGAAAATTTTAAGTTTTTAAAACGAAAAATACTTTAATAAAATAACTATTTAATATTTAAAACAATATAAAAATACACAACTCAAATATAACTACAAGTCAAACGACGTTACTAAATCAATGTTGATTGGCAGTGGTTCAGATCGGTGGTGATCGGCAGTGGTTCAGATCGGTGGTGATCGGCAGTGGTTCAGATCGGTGGTGATCGGCAGTGGTTCAGATGGCTTTGGTCGGCATTGGTTCAAATCAATGGTGGCCCGCGGTGGTTCGGTCAGCGGTGGTTCCAATGGACAGTGGTTCAAATTGGTGGTGACAGCGCTGGTTCATATGGCAATGGTCGGCGATGATTCAGATCAACGGTGGCCAAGGTGGTCGACGATAGTCATATTGGGTTTTACGAGATTAAAGCATATTGGGTTAAGGGCATATTTGATAGTATGAAATAGAGAATTATATTCTATCAAAATACCATGTAGTTGCTAATAAATATTAAATTCCTTTATGTGTGTAATTTGTAGGATTTTAAATATTTTTTTCGTGAAAAAAATTTAACCAAACGAGGGAATGAAATTTTGATCAATGAAATTCAACATTCCAATTCCATCAGATTCCTTCAAAATTTACAAACCAAACACCCCTTAAAATTTTCTAAGAGTATTCTCTATCTTTATTTTAGACATGGTAATAGAATACTCTCTAAATTTAAATATTAACTACGGAATAAAGCTATTGAAATATCAAAACGAAAGCATCTATCGGAATTATATATATATATATATATATATATATA